GTGGAATAACAATCCTAGTAAAATATATTTTAAGGAAAAAAATCACGTTATACTCAAAATATTAAGTTAAATTTTCTAAAGTATATGATAATGAAACATATCTTTCATATCTAATGCTACATTTTATGTATTATTATAACTATATCAGGTAGAATGTATTCAAAGGTAGTGGTTTATGCGCATCATTTTTCTTTTGCTTTAATATATACTATAAATTTGGTACAATAGATGTAAATTATTCCATTTTAAAAGTATATTATTAGTGCAATAGTTCCACATATTTGTTTCCTTTTTAGAACATTATGACATTACAGGTTTACATGGAAATAATTTCACTTTATGGTTAGTAGCAGAGACCATTTCCTCAGTAAAAAAAAAAAAAAAAGCAATCAAAAGCACAGAATATCTGTGCACCATCTGTCCTAGCGCATATATTAAGAACAGTATTCCAAGTAACACTTTAACAATGCTGCTTACACCTTTTTCACTCCTTAAAGAAACATCATTCCTTCTTTAAATATTCCTTCTTACATGACCTGCCTTCTCCTGAACACATTAGTGGCTTCATAAAACTGTATTATGTAGAAGAAGCCAAAATGACTCTGGCTACCCCTGTGTCAATCTTACCCAAATTCAAGAATTTTCTTAATCTTGAATTGTAGGTTGACCTTGCTGCCATACCTCCTCATTCCTAGAGAGCATCACCTTAGTTTTTGTTTGTTTGTTTGTTTGTATTTCTCTCCTACTTTCGTCTTGAAAGTCTTCGAAGTGTTGTATGTCTCTAATTCTGGATGATGATGCAGTTAGTCCTACTGCTACCACAGCCCTTACTACAAGCACAGGAAAGTAGGAAAAGTCCACGGAGGATGTGACAATGACTACCCAGCTTCCAAGAGAAGAGACTCCATTGTGGAGGCTCTTCGGGGGTGCAACAGGCTGGACTCCAGCCAGTGGAAGAGATAAGAGGGGGATGAGTGTATGTACAAGTGGAAGTTCAGTAGAGCTCTCATCTATGCAAACTCAGCGTGTTCCTTGGAAAAATTGAGTAGTTCTTCTGTGCAATATTAGAAGGGGGCAAAGTATGCAAAATGTCTCTTAGGTAAAAAATCTCATGAAAAATAAAATGACACTGAAAAGCTTCTCCCAGGTAAGCCTATGCAGTCTAGAAAGAGAGCAGAACTAGGCAACCCATCACATACAGAAACCACACGCTGAAATCTCAGCCTGTCCCTGAGTGTGACAGGAAATTATATCAGCAAGTTCCAGAGTGTATCTTCTCTTGTGTTTGGTCAACTAGTGGAATTTCAAATCTCGATACAGATTTGCCATTTTCACTGCTGCCTTCCACCCACCAATGTCCATTAGGGTTTGTATGCTGGGGAAGTAGGAAGACTCTAGCATTCACTTGGGGACATGGGGGAAGTAAACTCAAAGAATAATTGTCCAGGAGGAGATGCCCTCTGGCAAACAACTTCCCATTTTTTTCTGAAAATCTCATGGGCTTGTTGCCAGTGGTGCTGCTCTTATCTTTCTCTAGGGAAGCTGCTAATCTTCCCCATTCTCCATGAGACCCAGAACCAATGCTGGGCTCAGCACTGAGCGTCTCGCCCACTTTGGAGTCAGAAAGTCTTGGTTTCATATAAAGCAATCATATATGTGTAAGAAAGGAAGGGGGGAAGGAGAGGGGGGAGGAGCAGGAGGGGGAGGGAGGGGAGGGGGAGGGGGTGGGGGAGGGAGACTTACCTGCCGATGAGCGAGAACTCGCCCACCACGCCGAGGCGCCTCATGGCGCTCAGCAGCCCGCGCACTGTCATGCCCTCGCAGAAGCACACCACCACCCTGGCCTTGGGGAGCCGCTCCCGGAGCTTGCGCAGCAGGCGGTCGAAGCTCTTCTCCCCGGCGTTGCTGTAGATTTTGTCGGAGTGGGCGATGCAGAGGCCCTCCTGAGCAGCCAGCTCTTTGAAGGCATCCATTCCACTCTCTCCATAATTCCCTGTCGGGAAACAACCAGCAGAGGTTCAAGGCTACTGTACCAGGAACAGCACGGTACAAACTGTCGTAAGGATTATTTCTTAATTGCTGGAAACACGGAGGTCACATTTGTTAAATAATTTGCAAATATAACTGGGGCTGGAGGAAGCTCTGGGTGGATTCAAGAGTGATCAAATGTAATTGGACAATCTACTCAAAGTGATGAGAAACTACCCACGCTAAGGCGTCCACAGTGAAGCAAGCTTTGTGTGAGGAGGAATGCCGTCCTATTTTACAACTATGATGAATGGTTTGTCCCAGATTTTCACCGCGTGGGGAGCTCCGAGCAGCGGGGTAGGGAGGTCTGCTGGTGGCGGCTAGTTCAGTGGCAGGCACTCCTGGTGTTTCAGAGCCCGGATTCCTCCATGAAGACCAGGTGTGAGAAGCAAACGAGCGGGCCAGGCCAGAGAGGAGCAGCCCAAAACCAGCTCTGGGCCGCTTCCAAACCTACCCTTCTCTGCCGAAACAAAAGGAGGATGGGAGCTTGTGCCTTGTGGTTTGATTTTTATGTTGGGTCCTTCTAATTTTAAAATACACTTCAGAAACAGGAGGATTTATAGAAATCAATGAAAAATAAACAAATACCACACTGAACTATTTTTCCTCCTCTCGGTTTCACTGACTGTAGCCCCCACCGCAGCGGCCTCTCTGATGCCCACCTGAGTGAAGCACTCCGCACTATGTTCTCATGGTTCAGCTCCTCAGCCTCTTCCTTCCAGGGACATGTCCTGCAGCCCACCTTCTTCCCAGTCCAACTTTTGACAGCTATTCTACTATCTCTAAATGTGGATGTCAGACATCCCAATCTGTTATCATTCTAGCTTATATGTTCTATTTACCCCTACCACAGAATTTCTTCAACCTCATAAAAATTTAATATCAATTAACCTCCTCCCTATTTTTTCCCCATTCTTCCACTCTTTCTCTCTTAGCCTTATAGCCTATCTGGATAATCATTCCTTTGCAAATGCTTTAATTCTCTTGTGTTTTCCTGACAAAACCCTAATGCTATTTAAACCCAACCAGCCACTCATTCCATGTCTATACCTCGGCGCCTAATGATGGCTGAAATAAACTCACAACCTTGTTGACTGGTTTTATTAAAATTCATGTACCAAAGGGTATAGTCAACAGTACAAGGAAATTATACTACATCATCCCTATGAACAAACTTCCTTAGTTTCTAACATGATCATTTCACTCTAACTCTTCTCTTTTCAAATCTTCAACTACTGACTTTATCCCCACTTTACCTCAACTGGGATTCTCATTTCCTACTTCAATAAGGACACAGAAAGAGACAAAAACTAACTCACTATAATATCTAATTCTTAAATTCTCTGGTATCTTTCCTATTGCAAATTTAAAAGGCTTAAGGATAGAGCCAACCCCTGCTCAAGGACATAGATCCTGTCCTTTTTTTTCTATTCTGGGATTATTTTCCGGAATTGTTCCCTATCTCTTGCATAAGCAATTTATCGCTCATAGTGGTGTCAGTTTTTAAAAAATCCTCTGACTTACTGTCCCACTTGTGTTACTATTTCATTCACTACTCTTGTTCTCAGCAATAACAGTTGCCTACATCAATGTATGTGCTTCTTATTTCCCATTGTCCCTTTTTTTGTATTTTTAAAATTGAGTTATACATTTAATGTGCAAAAAATTGTATACATTTAATCTTAAAGAGTTTGAGCACTTGTACAGTCATCAGATCAGAGTCTTCTCTAGTCAAAATCTTCAATTTTCAAGGCCACTATTATTCTACCTGCTGCCACATGCCATGATCTGTTCTGTCTGGATTTTCACCAATCACTTAGTCACATTCAAAGTCACATTCTCTTTGAAAAAGTTTATTTCCTTGGTTTCTAAGACACAACCCTCTCTCAGTTTCCTCACTACTTTGTGACCACTCCTCAGTATATTTGCTAGATTTTTCTTCTCCATTCAACCTCTAAATATTGTCATGCAAGGATGCAATTCTGAAAAGCTGTCTCTAAATTCCCACACTAGGTTCTCCCACTCAGTCAGTTTAAGTACCAACTAATACCACTATTGAGTCCCCCATACAGTGATGAAATTATTCTGAGTTAAAGAGTATAAACATAATCTACCACAATGTTAAAATTTTATGACACTAGTATTACAATTTTTAACCAAAAAGTTAGAACAGTTTATACTATGGCACCAACTCATGCTAACACTGAGTACTATTATTAAAAAGTTGATATAGGGTTAGTGAGTGTGTGTCTGTGTGTGTGTATTTGTGGGTACTTTTTATGGGCTTCCTGCTACAACTTTCCTGGTTTTGATTGTTTATCAGATCTACAGAAGTAGGGATAGTAAGCAGATACGACAGGTTTGTCTCTGTGTGCCTGTTCCCTGTATGGGGAACAGCAATGGAAAAATGCTGGGTTTTGCAAGAATAATGAACTCTTGTTATATTTTTATGCCACTTAAATATTGCTTTCTCTTAACTTTTTTCTCCATGTCAGAAAGAACTCAAGTTGGAGAATCAACAAACTAGATAATTTCATAAAGTTCTAACATGAACACAATGAGCATGTACACCTGTAACCTAAAGAAAACTGAAGAGACAAGATATATCATGTACAGCTGCAAATTCCCGAAGATGAGTGTTATCATTACATATATCTAAAATGTACCAATAAATATTCTGCTTCAAAAAAAGACTCACACTAGAAAAATGTAGACTTTAAATTCATTTTTAAAATGACATGCCCAAAGCCCTCCAAAGAGAACTTTCTGTAAGCGTGGCAGAAAAATAAAATTGGAGGAAAACCTGGCACAAGGTGACTGAATGGAGAATAAAGCACTTCAGTTAGAGAAATAATAACAAGCTTGTGATTTATAAATAGGAACCTTGGAAATAAAGGACTGTAAAGCTCTTGGGTCAATGCTAAAGCCTTATGTTTGGTTTTAGATTCTATAATAACAAGAGACATGGAGAGTATTCCCTGCATTTTTTTCTAAGCTCTGGGAAATTTACATTTATTATCACATGTGATTTAATAATCACAAGTCATTGAGATGCATTTCATAACCTTCATTTTATACAAGAAGTAACCAAGGTTTCCACAAAAAAATGTTTAAGGCTATCTATCTCCTCACCTAGGATCCAGGGTCCAAACTGGTTGATACGCTCATACCTCTTAATCACTCCACCATAAAGAATAGCTAAGAGCACAAAGACATAGGAGGACAAAGATCATTTGGCCTCAGTCCCATTGTATGGAGCAAACAGCCAGTTTGTGGCAATTCTCCAACCTGGGTGCTATACCTGAACTCTTCTAAACTGGGATTGTTCAAGATGAGGCTGGGGAGTTTCTGGTGTAAATGGTTCCTTTTTGTTCTTTGTAACTGCTGTGTGCCTCACTTCCATAGCTGACCTTGCATACAAATTTCCTTACATGCTACCACCTGGGACCCCAGAGGTATGACTCACTAGCCTTTGACTGGCAAGACCCACAATGTTGACAGTGTTAGAGGACCAGCAGGTGTTTGGGGGAAGGTAGGAGAGGAATAACATTTCCTAGGTTTTAAGTGGGACAAGAAAATAAATTAATAGGTTGTTGGGAAAGGTTAAAGCAGTAAGGATTGCTTCTCTGCTAGGAGAAGAGAAAGCTGAACTGTCTCTCCCAGAAGCACTTTCCACATTTCCTCCTATCACACAAATTTCAAACATCTCGTATCTGTTGCAACTGAGAATGGAGAAGGGATAAATTTAGACTTTCTCATAAGAGATTTAGTAAAAAGGAAGAATTTTCCAATAATGATGGACATTGAATAGTAAACTTCTAGAGTATACTGTGGACAAAAATTTTAACAGAATACTTTTTAAAATGGGATACTATCTTATTTGCCAGTGTGTCTCAGGAAATAAGTTGATAAGGACTATGTGTGACCCGGGGGACCAGATCAGGAAGCGATTCACCTTCAGGGCATCCTGAACTGCATGAAATAGTGCCTAAGGGGCTCTAGGGCTAAGGATACTGTTTTTTCCAAAGTGAAGTATTCTTTCTTCTAGGGAGTGAAGAAATATCTAAATATTCTCCCTTCATGAATGTTTCTTCCCATATAACTGATGTATAAATACATAGGGATGAGTAATGTTGAATATACTTGCTTGACAAAGAAAGTTTATGAACATGCACACACACACACAAAACAGCATTTGAACTACATTCCACCTGATGGTTGATGTGTTACTCTAGCAACCAAATGAAGCTCAGATTCTTTCTTAAGTACCTGTATACCCTCAGTATTTTAGAAGTAGGAAAAAATCAACATAGACCTAGTTTTCATACCTTCTTTTTGCCATGGTGGCCTTTCATACAGATGATTATCAAATTTAACACCATTTTGTTTCAAGACTTGCTTGATCAGTGACACTTAGATATCAAGTCACTCTAATCAATGTCTTTTGATCAGTTGAAACGTTTCCCTATCTAACTGCTTCAAAATCATATCTATCTCACAAAATCCAGATTTGTAGTTATTATTTTTCCCTTCTTGAGACAATTTTGTGTTTTGCCCTCATTTTTAGTGTCTTTCTTAACATTGCCCTTTTATAAAAAAATTATCAAGATCTGTTACTTTAAATTATGTTTGTTATTATTGAAATAATAGGAATTTCTCTGTAAATTCTATGTTCTTCCTTGTAAATGTCTCTATCCATTCTGTTTAGATGCTTGATTTTATAGCATATCTTGATTCACTTTTAACATCTTTTTATCACATAACCCAGACAAAAATTGAGTTGGTTTTTTTTTTTACCCTACTAAGTTTTCTATGTTATAAGCTTCACCAGATGTCACTCTTCTCTTCCTCGCTCACTCTCTAGGTTTTAGGCAACATCATCACAGGAATAAAGTCTGTTATAAAATCTGTTATGTCACAGCAACATATAGCACATTTCTGTGTTTCAGTCTTGGCGTGTGTGCT